GGGTGTGTTAGTTGATATGTGCTAATTAGGTACAAACCAAGGTCACAAGCGTAGAGAAGGGGCAGGAATTGAAGATTGTGGCCTAGAAGCCAAAGATCACGACCGAGATCACAAGCCGCGAAGACGAGTTGAAGATCGCGGCCTAGAAGCCAAAGATCGCGATCGCGATCTTGGGGCCCAAGGAGCGAACTTCGCATGGAAGGAGCCTTGGAGAAGTAGAGAGTTTCCGCAGTCGCATCACGACCAACGTTCACTTTGCCCGTGAGGAAGATCAAGGCCGCGACTCGTGGATCGTGACCACGAAGTCAACCGCAATCTCCCCCTTCAAAAGGCCATGATGATGTTGTCTTGAGATTGCGGCCTATCCTCAGAAGATCCCGCCCTGCGATCTCCCATCCTCAGGCCGCGAACTTCATCGAGTCCAAAATGCCTATAGATACATACCCCTTTCCCCTTTTTAGGAGAGATGATTTTGAGAAAAATTTTTTGGTTCTAGAGAGAGAATAGAGAGAATCTGAGGAAGGAGAAGAGAAGGAGGAGCTAGGAGCAAGGAGGCACCCTCTTCAACCCCAAGTCTTATTCTATTTCTACCATGTATTTTCTTCCCTCCTTTATGGAGTAGTCCTCCTAAGGTACTGGGGGTACTAAACCCCAAATCATAAATTTAGGGTTTACTATGTATACATGGATATTTTAGGGTTTGAACGAATGAATGTGTTTGTCTAGTTGATTTTAATGCCACTCTTTCCTAAATGATGACGCTTAGGTAATTTGCCATAATCTTCCCTCTTAGCCTACTTTATAGAGTTCTAGGGTTAGACGAGTATGTACCAACTGGCGAGTTTAGGTTAGATGTGTGAATGGGGGCCCATAGTGGTCGAGGAGACCGAACCCCTGCTATAGGTAGCCTTCCTAAATGAAACCCAAGATGAAACCTTGGTGTGGACGGTGGATAGTGTCCATTGAAATGAGCCATAAGGTTAATGCCCCAGATACGATAGTCTAGATTTAGGTGACTGGAACATGAATTTAGGGGAGGCGTACTCAAAGGCGTGTGAAACTTCTTATATGGGTCACACAACTTATTTCTTTTGAGTGAGAAGTTGAGGGCATATCGACGACGTGTGAAACTTCTTATCAGGAACTCTGTGACCTTTGCTGCCCTGATCTGGATCTGGAGGACGAGATTGGATCCGACGCCGAGAAAAGTGCGGTGGACAGAACTGGAAATAGATGGCCTTGAAACCAGCCAGATCGGCCACGAGAGAATCAGAGTGAAAGGCAAAGCTGCTGATCTGTTTTGTGCTTGCATCTCTTCTCTGTGGTTCACGGGAACAACAACAAGGTGAGGGTACGAGATGGGGATGGAAAAAGACGGGAACGACATATCTGTTCCCTCCCTTTCTCCTTTAAAGATTTTTAAAAAGGAAAATTTTAAGTAGATGGGATAAGCTTCTAGTCATTTTTTTGGTTTTGTGTCTAGTCCTCCTCTAAAAAGCAACCCCATGAAAATGTATTAAATTATTTTATTAAATAAGCATATGTGATAAGTTTCTATATGGAAAAATGGATAATTCTTAATTCTAACAATTTTCATAGTATCTAGCCATTATTATTTATTTAAAATTTTTGTATGTCACCGATTTTAAAATCAGTTTTATACTAGTTATCAGATAAACCTTAAATCTCTTGCCAATCAAGATCATAACCCGGTCCGATTTTGAAAACACTGATATGAAGCATATATCCAACCAGATGAGCACATTTCTAGTGACTGTAACGGAGATGCGGGATGAAGTCCATTCTTTTAGTAGAACATACATGTATCGTAACACAACCGAGCAACAAAATTTTAGCAGCACCAATCGGGATAATCAAGATGAGTGAGAGGATAGAGATCAAGTAACTATGTGAAATACAATATGATTTTAAATACAATAAGCTTGTAAGACGATGTGGTTTAAAGCAACTACTATGGGACAATCCAAGTACCACATCGGAAATACAAGGGAAGGAACCCTTATATATAAGTGTCCACCTGCCCAATTAGTACGAGGCCTTTTGGGGAGGATACCCAAGAGTAAAACCGTGCGGGCTTGGTCTAAAGTGGACAATATCGTACTAATGAGCAGCCCGATTATGACAAGTGGTATCAGAGTCTGGTTCGGATCCAGGGCGGTGGACATCAGCTTGGTGGACCCTAGTTCGGTGGAGCTCGGGATTTGAGATCTGCGTCTGGTTTGGTGGATTCAGGAGAGATCCACGTTTGGGCTTGGCGGATCAAAGAAGGGTTCTGCGTCTGAGAAAATCCTTGTAGCGAGAAACCCATCGATACAAAGTGTCTGGCGGATCAAGATAATTCCTGAGGAGAGGACACGAAGTTCGTGGTCCTTGGCTTGAGGGGAGGATTGTTATGGGACAATCCAAGTACCACATCGGAAATACAAGGGAAGGAACCCTTGTATATTAGTGTCCACCAAGCTCTTTAGTACGAGGCCTTTTGGGGAGGATCCCAAGAGTAAAACCGTGCGGGCTTGGTCCAAAGCGGACAATATCGTACTAATTGAGTAATTGAGCAGTCCGGTTATGACAACAACTATGATTTTGGATTGAGATTAAGCCATTGTTTTGAATTTGAGATATGTGTGAACTATTTTGAGATGTGTTAATTGTGTTTTTTTGTTAATGGTGAAGGTTTAAAGAAGATATGGTTTTTCGCTACTATGATCGTTGATTGAATTTCAACATTTTTATGATAGTTTGTTAGATTTCAGAAGCTGCATGACATTCTGGATTCTGTGAGGTCTACTGGACTATTACAGAGCTCGATCAAAATAGGCAACAACTTAAGGTTGATGTTCTTATAAAAGGTCAATCGTAAAACCCATCATTTTAATCTACCAAGAGAATGATTTATTAAATTTGTGGATCGAGCGTAGTTCTGTGTGGGTGACCTCTTTTATGGAATGGTCGATCTCTTATTGATATGGTCGACCACTTTGCTGAAAGGTCAAGCATTCTGCTTATGATCCCCTTATGCACGGTCAACCGATCCTTGTTAAAGGTCAACCGCAATCTTCCATCATAATGGACGTGCTGGTGTAATCGGTCGACCACAACCACTTATCAGTCGCTTGTTTTGTCCAATTCACTGTGACTTGCAAGTCAACATGGCATACCCGAGTTCTTATTCCATCAATCCGTGGATCTCTCAAGAACATTCGATCTTGAGGTGTAAACTAGGAGCGACTAAATCTAGGAACTTTCAAAATGTGTGTTGATGCAGCATTTTCTTGTTCCTGAATGGTGGGTTTCAATTCTTTTAGGTTCGCACTTTACTTCGAGTAAGGATTCATCCAATTTTATAGCACATATAGGGCAAATGCCCCCAATACCGCATCTTTTTGCTACAACTTCCTTAATATGAATAGATATTAGTAATTGTTTTTTTTTCTTTCTAAATGGAGCTTTGATACTTCATTTCATTGGTCTAAGTCCAACCAAACCAACCATAAATTATTATTTTGACAAACGCTGGCATTGGATTCCGATTTGATGGGGAAGTTTCATATAATGGCGATTCAAAATTACAAGTGAATAGGCCATCGAAGATTACAGAGGCAGTTGTTGATTTTTTTTCCACTTTGGGTTGTGCTACGACAGGTCTGTTAGCCATGACCTTCTTTAGGAGATTCACCTCTCCCTTGACCTCGACAACCTCCTCCCTCTTGCTAGCAAATTCGCCCCGAATTATCTCTCTCAATGTCTTCGTGGTGCTGTTGAGCATGCCAAAAAGCTCGTTGGAAAGTGACTCCAAGCCTTAGCCTTCCTCCAACCTCAATGTGCATTGCCTCATGCCTTGCATGTCACAACATAGTTGCTTGATGCTTTCCCTCACGTCCACATAGCCTTGTCCTAAATCCTCTATCGCGTAGGTGTGCTATGCTATCTTTAGCTTCGCCATCGTCAGATGCTCCTCTACTACCACCACCGGGTCATGAGCTCTTGATCGAGACTTGTACCTCTTGGCTTTGCTTGGGTTGAGATTCTTCACTTTATCCCTCCCACATTCATCATTATTAACTTCGAATCTAGACACCATCTCATTGAAGATCTTCCCTCCTTGCAAGAATGAATCAGACTCTGATATCAAATGTCACAGATTAAACTCTTTTGTGTGACGTTAGCACTCGCACTTGCTCAAACTCACAAAACTAAGGGATTCCTCTCTTAAGATGTTATTGCTCTCAATAATTTTGCGTGATTATAAAAGAGGGTAAGTGCTCATTATACATAGACTTCACCTCCAAAACTTAGTTAAGAGCAACCTAATCCTACAATTAAAATTGAGTCGAAAATTCTTTATATAAATATCTACTATCTAAAATTTCGAAAAAATATATTAACAAGTCTTCATTTTCTTTCATGATCTTCCTTATTTTTTTTTGTCTTCCAGAATAATCCACAACTTTCTTGGGGCAAAAGAAAGGTTGTCAACCCGCGGGTTGACCCTGACCCGGTGGAGCTAGTGAGTCAACGGTCAATGGGTCACCCGTATTAGCCTGAAAATATGGAAAGAGTCATTATATTGTACTTATCCTAATAAATTATATAAAATATCATCTAACATATGAGTTATAACATATAATATTCCACCAAAATAACATGTCGTACTTAGATCCAACATATAGTGAAAATTCACACACACTTATATAACATATATATTCAAACGTTCAACTTAGGATTCCAAAGATGGAGTTAGGCGAAAAGAAAAATCGGAAAATAGACGCATTTCGCAAACCAAAGAAAAAATGATACAATTTGACTTCCAACCCGATACCTTATAGCGGTCGACCTAACAGATACGTGCGGCTCATTTTTCTTATCGGGTCAAGGTCAAAGTGGGTCCACCCGCAAGTTGACAACATTGGGCAAAAGGTTGAAGCTCGACGGTGAAAATGACCACTGGATCGAAGGTCCAAAATTTCCAGAAACGAGATTTAAAATGTCATAAATTGAAGCAGGGCAAAATATCAATTTCTGGCTGGAAAATGAGAGAAAACGGCGGTCTCTTGATTTTTCCGTTACCGCCATTACTCCATCTCCGGAATACGAAATAATCGAAAACCCATTCCCTTTCTTCTCTTCCCCTTCCCAATAAAAAGAATAACCAATGTACTAGTAAGACTAGAAACCCTAGAGAAACCCGACTGACCTCGTCAAATCCATTCCAATTCAAAATTTTTCCAACCCCTCCAAATCGAATCCAAGATGAAGTCAAAGCGGAAATCATCTGTCAACGCCAATAATCAGCTGTCCCCAAATGACGCTGCGGCGGCTGGCGATCAGGGTCAAGCTGGCGGCGGCGTGGCGGGACCGGCAAGAGACGACGAGATTGCAGCGAATCGAGATGGGGATGACGACAAGCAGGAGAAACCCGAGGACGTAGTAGTAGAAGATGGAGAAAGAGAAGGCGAAGGCGAAGAGGAAAATGATGACGAGGAAGAAGAAGAAGCAGCTGCTGGAGAAGAAGCGGGGGCGGAGGATGAGGAGCAGGGTGGAGGTCAAGACGAACGGCCGAAGCTCGACGATGGTTTCTTTGAAATCGAAGCTATTCGGCGTAAACGGGTTCGCAAGGTCTAATTCCCCCCCCCCCCCCCCCCCCCCCTCATCTCCTCATGCATTACGATGTCACTAGCATTTTACAACCTGTTTATCAATTGGTGTTTGTTTGGATGCCATGTATGAGATTGTGGTTCGTAAATGCTTCCGTATGCGAAATGTTTTGTTTCCTAAGCGTGGTGTCAGTATCAGTTTGCATTGGTGATTTTGTTGGTTGTTTAATGTCTATTTAACTTGGTTGGGATGGTGGTGCTCATGGGTGCGTCCAATTTTTTTGATAAAAGCAGGGTCAGCTTCAGTATCTCATTAAATGGTGAGCTCCCATTTCCCTTTCCTTAAGATCTTCTATATAATCCTACCTTATTTGCTGTAATATCTGCGGTCCTTGCATTGGCAAACTAATGAATGGTGGGTTGCAATTCTTTTCCCCCCTTGCTTTTTGAAGGCGAGGCTGGCCAGAGACAGCCAACACGTGGGAGCCGCTAGAAAATTTGCAGTCTTGTTCTGATGTTATTGAAGCATTCGAGGAGAGGTGGGCTCCCTTCTCTCTCTGTCTTATGTTGCTCTCTCTTTGTTAGTGTTCATGGTCAGTAAACTTCTCAAAGGTGTTTGATTTTATCTATGGGAATCTAGAGGCTAACTCGTTTCTGTGAGTATAATTTTTCCTTTAAGTCTTTGAGTTTATATTTTACTTACAATGGGTCTCTTGCTTAAAGGATGCAATCTGGAAAATCTACTCGGAAAAGGAAACGCAAGTCTGCGGGCTCTAATTCGCAGGGCAAGAAGAAGCAGTCTCGTGCTTCATCTGCTAACAATCTAACAGGTGATGATGTTAGTGCAGCTGACAGAAGTCTACCCTCAACTTCTCTGAACACATCCAGCCTTGCAAGTCTTAGAGCGCACACTCATGAAGAAGATAATGATGAAAATGGCACCAATAGCCATGTTGCCACTCGAGCAGGCGAGAATGGGTGCACTAGCCGCCCTAGAAATGTCTTGGGTGGGAAGGATGATACTGAATATGATCCAAAGCTTAGTGAGCTGAGAGGAACAGCACCATCAAGTGATGTTAACGGAGACAAGATTTCTGTACAGTTAATTGATTCCAAGGCTCTTGAAGTTGTTGAGAATGGGTCGTCTCTCAAGGTTGATTCTGTAGACCCTGTTCAAACCAACCGTCGAATAGGTGCTAGGAGAAGGAAATCAGGGTCTGTGAAGAGATTTGAAAAAGATCCAGCCTCTTTTGAAGCTCCTCCGGTTGATAATCCAGTATGTAACATTTCTCTCAGCTGTGAAGGTGAGATGACTGAAGGATCCAAAATCATCAAGATTCTCAAGCCGCTCAGCTATTCATCTACTTCATTTGACAACATTCAGGATGTGCTGGTTACTTTTGCTGCAATGAGGTTGGTCCTCAACTATGTTTGAAATTAGTTTTCCATGGAATTTTTTAGGACGTCTATATAGGCTTGGGTCCTCAACCATTAAATAGTTAGGTGTAGGTTTGGGTTGTCTGGCACCAGTCATATGGAAGAAGACCACATTTCTTCACAGAATCACATGAGCTTTATTTTGTATTTTAAAAAAGAAACAGAATCATATAGGCTTCTAAAATAGAGAATTGGCTGCATGCATGACGATTATTAGCACTCTTCATTCCTTGTATTCTCCCGAGATTTCCCTGTGATGTTTGAAACTTCCAATCTATTTGCTATATTCTTCTTTTAAAGTTTGCAAGGCTAAACACCCCCAAGGAATGTGCATGCATGGAACCCTTTGCCTCTTGCTTTGCTTACCTGACCCTCATTGGAGTAATATGAAAAGAACCAAGTTTGAAACTTAAGATTTCTGTGTATTGTTGAAACATTAGGCACACTAGCTACCGGCTCAAAGTCTGCCCGTCTTTCTTCTTTTAATTTGGCTGAAACATGGGTTTATACTATTTTGGCAGGTCTGATGGCAAGGAAGTATTCGTGGATAACAAATTTTTGAAGGCTAATGATCCACTGCTGGTAATTCATATTTCATTGAATTGTCTTCTCTGCTGCTAGTTAAGATAAGTGGTGGCTTCATGTGATACTGTACTGAAACCTTCTATCTCTCCTTGCAGTTGATCAATTATTATGAGAAGCATCTCAAGTATAGTACATGAAGGGGAAGGAGGGGGAAATGTGAAGTCAATCTCAAATATAATATGCCTTCTGTATTTATCATTTTGTTTATAAATCTGTGCCCTCAGGAGAACTATGCAGGATAACCAAACCAGCTTTATTTTACCTAGCTCTATAATGTGAAGTGATATATTAACTCTGGTATCAATGTCGTTATCAAGGTCTTTATCTTTCTATCTCTTCGTCTGCATCATGAATGAATTATTAAGATGAAGGGAATAAGGAATCTAGCCCTATTTGTCCCTTTTTCCTCCATTCAGCAGTAAAATAAGATTCTGTACGGTAAACACCTTCAGATAGTGACCTTGGACTCCCATTAGTTTGCTTCATTAGCCATGGAGATAAGATTCCTTGTTTTGTTTGGTTTTTAGGGGTCCAAACTATGTATTAAATATCATGTTGCCAGAATTTTAGGTTGTCATTTCAACTTGCAGCAAACGTTGCGACCTTTGCCTCCCCACTCCCTTCCCTCCTTCTGTCTGTGGATATCCTCAAACAGGGAGTGAAATGAGCAGCAGCAGCGGTCCGTCACCAGTGCTACCTTTGCTGCTGGTGGGAGTAGAGCTGTCAAAATGTAACCCGATTCGAGTAACCTGCTCGATCAACCTGACTTGTAACCCGTCCGCAACCCGATTTGACGGAAAGTCAATGATTCGTAATCCGACCAATCTGCAATCCGACCAATCCGTAATCCTACCAACTCGCAATCCGATCGACCCGCAACCCCACCAACCCGCAACTCGATCGACCCGCAACTCGACTAACCCAAACCCTTAACCCGACCAACCCGCAGCCCGATTATAATAGAAGGAATTCGATGAAGATAAACTATAAGTTGACATTTGAAATCCTAGTTCACTAAAGTCTGATCATTACATCATCAATTATTAACCTAGTATAATAATATACATCATGATCTACCTATTAACGCATATAACATCATCAAATATTGATTTAGATACATCATCAACCTAATAGTGCACATAACATTATAAAATATTAATTTAGCATAATAAGATAATTATAAGATTTAAAATCCAAATATCATGGTCATATCATAAAAAAAGACTAATAATAGTTCACAAAAGTCTGATCATAACAAGAATACATGACTCATAATAGTTCATATTGCCTCAAGACCTCAAATATCAATAAAACATGTCCAAAAAACAAATTGACATTCCAAATGACGATCAGTCTAGAAGCTTTACTTCTTCTCCATCATCCCTCGTATCTTCATCATCGTCATCTGTACAATTAATCAGTGAAAAGAAAATAATAAGGAAAAGAGAATAGTTTGTTCATTACAAATATAACAATTTGTTTTTTCTTACCCATTTGGTATCCTCGTATCCAATTACGAGTTGTCACAACAGCTTCAAGAGTATGAGACAAAATCGAAGTTCTCCATTTTGTTAATATTCTTCCTCCCAAACTAAAAGAAGACTCTGATGCAACTGATGAAATTGGAATAGAAAGTACATCCTATGCCATTCTAGAGAGGTGAGGAAATCGAAATTGATGGTCCTTCCAATATTGCAAGACATCAAAAGGAAGTAGCTTAGAGACTCCATCAATGTCCCCAAATGCAGGTATCAAAGGATAAGCCAAATACAATTGCAACTCAGAACTAGTTGACGTATTGTGGTTGATATTGGATGCATAAATGATAAAACCCATACAAACAATAAATATAGATATCATTGATATTAACACGTAATCATGTTCATCATTTTCTTTACAGTTAGCATGTACATGAAACAAAACAAATAATTAACCAAAGACCAAAACACAATAACATAATTCATAAATGTAGCAACAAACAAATACTTACAGCAGTGTAATTGTCCAAGGGAACGCTTGGAGAAGTCATAAACATACCACTTTGAGTAGTTGAAGTGGCCGATTGATTCTTATATTCTTCCAAAAGCAACTCCAAATCATCCACAACATCCTCCGCTTTTGAAACATATTCTCCACCCAACTTTTCATAGCAATACTTCACAAAAGCAACCTTTTAACGAGGGTCCAAAATAACTCCAAAAGCAAGCACCAAGTTGTAGTCTTTCCAATGCTTCAAGAATTTCAACATCATTGCATTTGCCATAGCACATATATCATCATCTAGACTTGTACAAAGAAGCCTCAACTCAAGATGAATCTTCCAAACATTCTCAAAAAACAGATTACTAGTCGGGTACTTAGTTCTAGAGAATAACTTTGTGATTTCATCAAAAGGCTTCAACAATTTTATAATCACTTCTATCTTCTCCCAATCTTCAGATGATGGACATTCATTATATTCGAAATCCATCCTTGCTAAGTTTACAAATGCTTGACGATAATGATTTGCCCTCTCAAGCATATTATAAGTTGAATTCCGTCTTGTTGGCACATCCAACCACAAAGACCTTGTTTGTTTCATCCCACTTTGCTCAACACATTCCTTAAACTTAATTTTCCTTCCTTCAGATTCTTCTATATATTTTACACTTTCTCTCACAGATCTAATACCATCTTTTATCACCTTCAATCCATCTTGGACAATAAGATTCAACATGTGCCCACAACAACGTATATGAAAAAACTTGCCATCACACAATAATCCATTTTGTCCATTCAACTGATCACACAATTCATTTTGCATGTTAGTCATATTGCTAGCATTATCCAAGGTGATAGAGAAGATCATGTTATCAATACCCCACTCTCTAAGCATACGATAAATGGTCGTCTTCACTCTATAAGAGGAATGGGGAGGAGGAAGATGAGTAAAGCTCAATAGCTTGCTCCGAGCTCATGACAGCCTCTTCGTGGGAGCCCTGGGAGTGGTGATTCTTGCTCCGACGCTCATGACAGCCGCGGAGGTGTTGCTGTTTCTGCTTCTGCCCAGCAGCAGTGGTGAGAGCTCTGGTCTGTCACCTTTGGTCTTGATTGCGATTCCCATTTCTCTGGTACTGTTTATGCATTTGATCTCGTGGTGTCTGCCCATATTATATTTGGAGTCTGCCGCGCCGGGAGATGGCAGCGCCAAGGTCACCTGCGTATGGCGATGATGGCGAGAGTTATACCTTGGGAGCATTGATTCTGATACTCTTCTTCTTTGTCTTGTATGGCCTCTTGAGCTGGTAAACATGCCTTACAAAACAAGATACAAAATGGAAGCAGGGGAGGCGGTTATGTAACTGTGTGGACGACTATCGCCGGCAAATTTTGGGTAGGATGACGATAAGATGGATCATTATAAAAGAACGCCACATTTTTATAAGCGAGTTGGGGTTTAAGTGAAATCATTGGCTATGATGGAACTACTTTCATCAGTGTTAAATTGTAATTGATGCATCTGTTGTAATTGCAAGTTGAGAAATGACGTTTTTTTTTATATTAGGAAATTAATGAAAAACGATCTCCTGAATAAGACTAATGACCATTTTATTAATAATTGTTGGGTTGTATACAACGAAAAACAATTGAGTTGAAAATAGGTGCTAAATATATTTTAACAAACCTTTGGGTTAATTGCATGATTGGTCACTGAGATTACAAAAAACGTTCATGTTTGGTCACTGGAAATATTTAAATCCAATCTTGGTCACTCGAATTAGTTAAATGGTTCAAGTTTGGTCACTCTCCTTCCAATTCCGTTAAATTTGTCTGATGTGGCAGTCAACCCTCAAAATTGAATGTTAACTCAGTGACGTGGCAATTAAAAATAATAAATAAAATTAATTTTAAACTTCTATCATTTCCAGCTCATTTTCACAAGAAAGTAAAATAAATAAAATAAAAATTTTATTATAGTTACATCCCTTCCGCACCAAATCAATCATACGAATTAATCCCGTCGATTTCTTTGAAATTCTACAGGCTCTAGATGTTCCTGAGCACGAAGCCGAAGTTGTTGATCATGGTCCCCGAGAGGCCTCCCAAATTGAAGGACACTTCGGTCACTGCGGCTAAGGAGCAGCCGAAGACTATGGAGAGGATCGAGAGCCATACCTTGAGAGGGAAGATCTCGCCAAGGAAAGACGAGAAGATGACGAAGAAGACGGGCTCCACCGATTTGATGATGTGGGTGAACGAGACGGCGACATTGGAGTAAGAGACGCAAGCGGAGATCTGGCCGACGGTGTGGAACAGCGTCGGGCCGAGGAGGGCGAGGAGGAACTCCTTGGAGATTTTGGGGAATCGGCGGTTGATTGACCAGCTGGCCAGCATCCAGATGCAGCCGGTGAAGAGCTGGAATGTGGCGAGAAACCATGGGTAGGGAAAGACGTTGAGGGATTTCTTGTTGTAGATGTTGAAGATTACGTTGTGGAAGTACTAGATCCTGAATGAGGTGGCGAGTTTTAGGGTTTGATTAACGGGTTTGGGATTCGAATTCGAATCCGGGATAGATGATCTGATCCCTTCTGCCGCCGCCGCCGATTTGACGGCAAAGCGAGATCTGGGGGTAGCTGATTGGGCTGGGAGGAATCGAGATTGGTCGCTGCGGATGCCGAGATGAGAGAGGGGTTTCGGCAGTGGAGTTGAGGGAAAGTGGCGGGGATGGAAAAGAGGTGGCGGTGGCCGGTGGTGGATTTGGGGAAACCGGCGGGGGTTGGAGAGTGAGTGACATTCAGTGACATCATAGCTCGTCGGTGGTTGGTGACGGCGGAGGGAAATTGCCGGGAGAGAAAGGAGGAGAGTTAGATGCGATTATTTATTTTCACAAGAAAGTAAAACAAAACAAAACATTATAGTTACAAATTAAATAATTATTATTGTAAAAATGAGTTGGAAATGATAGAAGTTTAAAATTTATTTTATTTATTATTTTTTAATTGCCACGCCATTGAGTTAACAGTCAATTTTGAGGGTTGACTGCCACATCAGACAAATTTAACGGAGTTGGACGGAGAGTGACCAAACTTGAACCATTTAACTAATTTGAGTGACCAAGATTGAATTTAAATATTTCCAGTGACCAAACATGAACATTTTTTGTAATTTCAGTGACCAATCATGCAATTAACCCACAAACCTTTCATAATATAAAAATTCGTTTTAGCTGCTGCGAAAATGATATGATTGTGTACCCTATGAATTTAGTTTTCCGAGGGAATCAACTCTGTTACCTTCTCAATATTCCTTGTTCTGCTGATGTTTTCTTCCAAACTCGAAGCTTGATTGTAGATGAGTGCTAGGTGGTGAGTAGTTGAATTTCATGGAAGTTAATTAGTTACCTTATCTTTGTGCCTGGGTTATAACGATGGCCGACAACATTTGGGGAGCATGCTGGATGGACAGGACTCCAACGGCAAGACAGGCTTCTTTCTTCATCAAAATTATGCTTGGTTTCTAGTTTCTACTACCCAGAAAAATTAAAATTATGCTTGGTTCATATATAACTCTCTAGGGTGTTCCTTGTTTGGTAGTTACTTGTCAGTTTAGTTTGGTAACTATTGAGTGCCCTTCCTAATCTTATCTTATCGCAATGATTTTTCAGTACATATATTGGGAAACTGGGACAATTATAAATAGAGGTGTCAATTCTCAATCCAATCCATCAACCCATTAAAAATATCCACCTAATCAAATTCATTTGATCCAAATCCAATTGGATTGGCGGATTCAAGGATTGATCCATGGATCCAAATGGCAAATTACGGTTTGGTACCTATACTTTTTATATTTTACATTTTGGTACCCACAATTTAATTTTTTATACGAAAAATATCATTGGAAAATTATGTTTTGGTGCCTAAAATTTTTCATTATGACATTTTAGTGCCTAAACTTTTTACATTTTTACATATTGGTCATTGGTTGACGATTAGGGATGGCAACAAAACCCGAACCCATGGGTACCCACCCGACCCAACCCGGTCAACGCGGGTAAAATCCGTGTTGACGGGTTTTGGGCCGGGTTTGGGTTTAAACCCGTTCACTATTCACCGGGTTGGGTTGGGTTTGGGTTTAGGTAAACCCGACCCATGGGTACCCGCCCACACCCATATAATTAATTTTTTAGGTATATTTAATATTCTAAACAACTAATCTTATTTATATTTGTGGAGATATGTCTAATTTTTTCTTTCTAATTGTGTAAAATGAAGTTGATGTTATCGAGTGGAGAGTGAAGAAACTTAATTGAAAGGAAGAAGTTTTGAATTAATCATGTTATTTATGGATAATTTATGATTCGCTTCAATTTTCTTGAGTTTTTTAGATTGGTGTTGAACAATTTGTATAGTTAATTTGTAATTTGCTTGAATTTTCTAGAATGGTGTTTTAAATATGGATAATTTGTATTGAGAGATTGATATTTGACGTTAATTTTGATAGGAATTTGTTATTGTAAATTTTTTATGACAAAAACCCGTGGGTACCCATGAACCCGCGGATACCCAGCGGGTTGGGTTTGAGGTTTTCAAACCCAATGGGTTTTACCCCGGGTATTTTTCACAGATAAACCCACGGGTTTGGGTTTGGGTTTGGCAAAACCCGACCCAACCCGACCATTGCCATCCCTATTGACGATGTCATTTGGATTCATGGATAATCCACCAATCCACTTGATCCAATCCATGAATCCACCAATCCATTGTATCCAATCCATTTGATCCATGGATCCACCAATCTAATCCACCAATCCATGGATCAATCCATTTGCCACCTCTAATCACAGGAGAATAGTTCCAAGCGCACCGCTTAAAACGAATCATGATGATATATATTTCATATTTTGAAAATATTATAGAATACATTCATTGTCCAAACTAGCACACGAATCTTATTCCATGTATGTACGCATCATTTAGTCACTCACACCGTTCATCCGATTCCGAAGATTGTTCTTGATATATTTCATGAATGAAATAATTTATCCAAACTTGTTGCAATAGGCAGAACAATTATATTGTCAACTTGAGAAGCAAATCAACATATGGATACAGTTTGTGTTTATTTGTTTTCATCGTGTTTTTTCTAACTCATCAACCCCTTATAAGTCATTGAATATGTTATTGAATGGTAGATCATAAGTACATGAATTTAATTGATGATCAAGAAGTTTCATAAGATTTCTTATTAAGATTTTTAATATTAGATTTTGATAGTTATTTTAAATTAAAGTGTATCCATATCATACAATTTATCCCGTGAAGATCGTAAGACAGTAAAATTATGAATTGACCAGATTGGGATTCAAATCTACAATTATCAAACCTCCTGAAATCTAGAAAATAAGACGACTCAGTCTTGCAAACAACTCCACCACTGATATCGACAAGTAATTATGAACAGTGGGTTATGCAGCAACACTCATTCAAGAGAGATAATAGTAACTTTGCAGCTGTTTGAATATTGGATAATCTAGAAAATAAGGCGAGTGAAGTCTCTTTCTTCGTATCAACAGATATCGATATCGAGCTAAATCACATATAGAAGAACCACACTTAATATATGTGGATGAATATGATTTCTTGTTCTAGGGTAGTCTAAAGATAATAAGTGAAAAATGGTATTTCATACCAAGGAGCAAGGACTTCGAGGAATCAGGATGGATCAGCCAACATTCAACCGTACGTGTGGCTTTGTGAGGAACGAAGGCCATCAAAAGAACCTTTCTGGTCGGGTGAAGGGAAGGGTGAACTAGGTGAACCAACCAACTATTTTTTTTGGTAGCACGAACCAACCAACTATAGTTAAACTTATATGAATTAATACACGATAAATTAATTATTAAGTATAAATTAATTATTTCTTTGATTTTGACTTGGGTCAATGAAAAAAGATGAATAGATGTAAAAAAAAATAACAAGAACCAATAACATGTATTTTCAATTTAATAAATTAGTAATTATAAAGTTTTAAAAATGCAATTCATCAAGAAATTTACAATATGATTAGGATATTCTAGAAAAATAAGAATTTATAATGGTTTGTTTCTTCTTGAAGTTCAAGTCAAATAGAAGTCTTCTTGAACTTTCCTTATTGTACTTAAATTCTCCGGTGTCGTCTTTTTTAATTGCAACAAGTAGTTTTGAAGAGTCGATGAGGCTTTAAGCGTTTTCTTTCACGTGACCGGTTCCAAAAGTGTTGAATCGGCATCTCCTTCATCATCGGTCGGACTCCTAATGACGTCGGCCACAATTTCTTCTAAACTTTTTGTCTCAATATATGCATCATTTTCACAACAACTGACTTAGGGGTCGTTTGCTTCATGGATTTAAAAATGAGGGTTTTGTAATTTAAAAACCCAAGGATTTATCAAGGATTTGAGGCATCATGGATTTGTAACAATCCTTTGTTTGTTGGGATGTTTTATCATGGATTTAAAGGTGTGGGATTTACTACTTGAAGTCAAAAATTACATTACTGCCATTTTCTATATGTTTGACATGTTTATGATATGTACACAAAACAAGGACAAAACTTCAAAATTACCTTACTATCATTTTCTATATGATTGACATGTTTATGATATGTACACAAAACAAGGACAATACATACTAATAAGCATAATGTTGCCACATGGACAATAATAATAAACGAGAAAATTCCGTTTTAACTTTTAACTTTTAACGTAACATAATCAATTACCAATTCTTTGTCCTCCTTTTCAAAAGTGACATATAACAACATATATTAGAATCGGGAGAACAAAGAATTACACGTTCCATGAAAAGGTCAAAGAAAACTAGAACACAAGAAATGATATAAAAAATCTAACTCATGTTTGCACATTAATTGAACGTTTATATTATTCATTTATTGTTAATTATAATGTATAATAGTTAAATTTGAGGGCAACCTTGGAATATTAAAAGTGCATGAGGGTATATGGGTAAAATCTCATTAAGGATTTATGCCATATACCAAATCCCACATCAATATGTGGGATTTATAAGTCCGTGGGGTCCACGGATTTGGACCCTTAAAATCCGTGGGCCCCACGGATTTGGTCTCCAAAAAAAGTGCAAGCAAACAAAGGATTGTACCTAAATCCTTGATAGTTGGTTTTTTGGTACCAAATCCATGTACCAAATCCTTGAAGCAAACGACCCCTTAATTACATCCATCTTATTATGATAAATCATATGATAATCATATCCTCAAGTTAATAACATCTTCATCAAAATTCATTTCACTTGAGAGGACATGTTCCATTATTGAACCTCTCTTTCAATAACTCGAGTTAACAAGTTTTAGGGACCTCCTACCATGCATTAAAGTTACTATAACTTGACTTTTTGACCTGGTATATCAGGTTTTATA